CAAACTTTTTACTAGCAAAAGTACCGTGACCCCGAGCTAGTGGTGCATTTTTCATATTTTTCCAAACAAAACTCAATGCCCAAGTCGAATGTCGCAATACAATACATTATTATTGAAAGTTGTTAGCATATGATGCAGACTTGAAGAATGACACTGTATATCAATAATCTGTGTACGTTGTATATTTACATTCATCATTCACAGAAACTGCTGTACCAGTACTGCAGACTGCAGGAACCAAAAATAATTATATTTAGTCACAACCAATTGAGAATAAATTTCGTGTGTTGTAGCTAGCTCCATCCACTGGCAACTGTATGAACCAACACTATAATTCTCAAAAAGAAAGATGGCATCTGCAAGACAGTGAGAACTACAGTGACCCCTATCTAATGTATGTACGCTGCCCCTATCCACCTTTATGGACTCTAATGGATACTCACAGGCACCATAAAAGCACCATCCAACACCAACTGGTGATTATTCATATTGAGTTCATTGTCATCATAGTTGTCATGAAGCCAAAACAGTCTCTAGTGATCTGCCATCTATGGTAAAATGTAGAAAGCTCTATCTGTTTGGCGCTAGCTTGGTTTGGCTTCGTACTCATGCAGATTTCCCAACGGAAATATGTTATGGATTTCTGTAACCACAGTCCGCTATATTTCTCAACCAAAATTACAGTTTCCTTTCTAAGGTTTCGTTTGTTGCGGAAAAAAATTGAAAAAGATGTCGCTAAGTGCATCAGTTGAAATTTTTTAGAGATTTTCAGCAAAAACAATAACAAGAACAAAAACCGCACTGAAAATGTTATGCATGATATTATACTGATTTCAACCAATAGCAATGCGTAATTCTAGCCAAAATTCCACACCAATATTTGTTAACCCATCAAATTGTTTTTATTTACAAATAATATCGCAACGTATATATTTTAGTGAAAATATTTTCTCTTGGGGGTAGTAAGCCAACAGCGAATTAAATCGGTAATTTTTTTACGTTTCAATTACAGAATAATATTATGATTTTCTACTACTTATAAAGTAACCCGAAGGTGATACAAAATGTTATAGAAATCAAAAATACATAAGAGGAACATAACTCGTTCAAGACTAGCCGGTATAGTGACAGATTTTTTGCAACGTTTTTTCAATGTATGCAACTTTCAAGCAATGAATTCCATTTTTGAAATTCCATTAGAGTTTAAAGTATTTCCGTATTTTTTTTTTCGTGATCATGGAAAATCATTCCGAGTCGCAAATTCTTTCGGCGGTATCATTTTTTCAAAGAACCTATTTGCATGCATCAACTAATCGTTCAAAATCATTGATTTTCAATGCAAATTCGAAACTGATTGGTGACGCCAAGGCATGCGGGAACAAATTGATAATTGTTTTAGCCATGTTGAAAACCCATGAAAATCATCACTTGAAAGTTGCAAACGTTGCAAGAATAACTGTCACCACCAGCCAGTATAGATATAAAAATCAAATGGATGAATAAATTCATGAATCATTTGAACTTCAAACTACAATCTGGTGTGAGTTCTCTCACCGAATACCACACGAGGACAATTTATGACCAGAAATTCTTTCGAGCTTATGAATATTTTCAAAATTATTCCGAGTCGATTACAAGTGATAAGACTGCTTGGTCCTCGATAAAGAACTGTTGATACCTATTATACTTACGTACCTGCAGGGGGAATGTATATAATCTCTGATACCTGTGACTGCTATCTTGTTTCTTTCGGCCTATCTTATATTATTATGTAAGTTATCAATTCTCCGAGAAAACAGATATGTAACTTTTCAAATTGTCGTTCACCTCAATAACACAAATAATGTTTCATGTGTCACCGGAAATATGAATGCCACATACATAGAATCCATTTGAGTCGTGACGTGATAGTAATCTTTCCAAATAGAACTCGCCCCTCAAATTCAATCCGATGATTTTTTATTTTCATCATTCAAACAAACCGAATAAGATAAAATCACTCATCCTACAGACTCATGATCTTGTCAATCGGTTTGGTTTCATATTTTTGCCAAATAAAGAAGTTTCCGTCACCATTCAGCAGTCTTAGGACCGCCAGCTAAGCCAATGCTGGCCGAAGAAAATAGCGTAGTCTCTACACTGATGAGGGCCAAGAGCTCGGAACCCGAAACCGCGAAACCGGTTTGTAGGTGTCAAATATTAACCTGGCTACAATCTAAAAACAATCCCCTATGATTATTTTCGACATTTCGTTTTGTTTGTGAAATTTCTTCAAAATTCAGTGATGTAAGTACCTATAATGAAGGTTTCTAAGTATCAATGATATTTAATATTTGGCATGACTATCTTCTCAGATTTTGTGAGACATGGTGTTATATACTGCGTGGAAACTTTCTGGAAAATTATTCAATACAGAAAACAGCATGACCCCAAATCACAGAATCTGTTGAGGAATTCATACCATATACTGGCCATTATTGACTTAAATCAATTTCGTGAAACAAGAAAATGATGGAAACTCAAGAGGATTAAATGATTCCAAAAGACATCAAGTGAGCATTCTGAATTACATCTGATTACATCCCTATAATGATCCTAGAACCTCGTGGGTACCTAGGGAGGATAGGAATAGGAGGTAGGAGTTGGAATTTTTGTTGAACTTTTGGAGATTATGAGTTCTTGGAAATAATTCCTCAGACAATGAATTCCAGAGCTTCGCCGTTCTATATATATAGAGAAACGAGTTTTGATGAAGTGCTGTTCGACATATTCTCAGGTTAACATCGAAAGGATGTGCTGACTGCACTTGTCGAGTTCGTCTGATTGGTATTGCTAGTCATGGAATAATAGCAGAGAATTCTGAAGAACATTTCCCGTGAAAGTATCTATAGAAGAGTGGAGAATTGTTTTTCATCATAAAACAATCTTTTCGAAAGTAATCAAAGGATACCAAATAGTTGTTCGGCAAATATCCAGCATGATAATGTGTCACAAGGGCAAACAATGAGCTTCAGCAGCCCGCGGCTATTAGCTGCACGAGCGAAGCTGGTAGCTAAGGGCTGCTAGAGCGTTTTCTGCATGTGTGACACACAACTGTTTTTTTGCCAACCAGATACATAATTGTACTCTTGATTCTGAACTTATCTATTCACACTGACGTTTGATAAAAATTCATGTGAAACGTCAAAATACTAATCACGCAAGTGAATTAGTCAAAGGTGTCCAGATAGTGAAAAACTACAAAATCGTGTTGTTATGAATTTTTCCTATACGAGCGTGCGCATGATTTTTCGTTTTGAAAGTTGCACTTCTCCGTACGATTCTACTTTTCCGCATTATTTTTACATTTCCCCACGACTTCGCAATAAACTGACACTAGTGACAGTCCAAATAAGCATTTCAAGCGTCATTTTTCCGTGTACGTAATTTCAATTAAAAATGGACAACTCAGGAAACTTTCCAGAACTCCCTCCGGAAATAATTGATGCAAACAGTAACCAATCAAATTCAAATAAGAAACGACGCTCTTCAAGATGTTGCGGCATCTGCTAGATTACAGCATGCAACAAACACAAATTGCACTTTCAATTTCAATATTTACCATCGTTAATGTTCTAGTCATTGTTATCTAAATGTTGTTCAAATAATTTTCCTATTATATCGATGAAAACAAAATCTATTTCATTATTTTTCAGTGCATGAAAAGATCGTGCGGTAAAGTTACTTTACCGCACTAGTGCTGAAAAGTAACTTTTCCGCAAGATTTTTGTTTGAAAATAAGGATATTTAGGACTTACTTAATGATCCATGTAACTTTTTTGTCTTATGTGTCATTTTGTAGCATCATTAAAAAATAGTATTCATTAAACACATTTTTTATAAAAAATATGGATAAAAACACTCGTAAGAAAAACTTTGTACCTATAACACTTGCGGAAAATGAAAAGTACTATACTTTCTGCACTTGTTAGGTAAATAACTATTTTCTACAAGCGTGCGTGATTCACCCTATACCCGCACGCAATTTAGTTTGGGAAGTGTAATTTTCCCGCAACAATGCGGGAAAAATAATGATATGATAAGATCGCAAAATATAAGTGGTTGGTGATGGAATATAGCATAGTAGAATAAGTTTAGGTTTGTTTGTTGCAGTATTAACTATAGCAGCCCAATGGGCGAGAAAGAAACAGTGGACTGTAAATTTTGTTATCAATTTCTTGATTGATTTTCGCACATTGACAAGAAGCATTCGAAATGGCCACTCACCTGTTGAACCGGCGTGGTTTTGGTTCTTCTGTTGGTTCCTGCTCGGCGGCCGCCTCAGGAGCAAGAGCACTAACTGCACCTCTGTTTATGAGTAGGGTTGCACTTCACTGAGTATTTTTCACTATCGTGAAGCTGCGTTGAGTAGTGCGTTATGTTAGCACAAGAATATTGCTATTCTGGCTACCAGCATGAAATTTGGTACACATGTTGATGAATATATAGAAAACAAAAAACCATCGGGACACACGCTGTATCTGGAATATTTCCGCCGCCATTTTTCAAAATGGCGACTGAAAGCTGGATTTTTGCTAATATCTCCAGAACGGTGAGAAATATCGGGAAAGTTCAAATTGATGAAATATAGAGAATAGTAAGGCGAACATTTTTTGTTCGAAACATTTTTTTGTCAGACGAATCAAAAACTCAATAATCGAAATATTAAAATTCAATTTTTCAAGGTTTCTCAAGAAAAAATCAAAATTGAAACATTCAGGCTAAGATTAGCCACAGAAATCATGATCATGTAATATCTGTATGATGAACTCTTTGTTGAGGATTCAAACCGAAAGTACCATTACGTAAAATAGCGGTCAATTATTTTAATCTAAATAAAATCATATATCAATCATGTTATAGGCTTGATGTTTAATTAGGTTCGATTAGATCAGTAAGAATCTTGGTGAACTAACTAATAAAACAGTATAACAAATAATGTTTATTGAATACACTGTCCATCACACGTGCATAGAGCAGTACACTGCAAATCAAATCTATTGCATTTGCAGTTCTTAATACACATTGTTTTGCATCTGCAGCTGATCAACTCTGAACATTCATCAGATGAATCTGGTGAATGGAACCCTATTTACATTGCTATATACTTGTACTTCTTCTACCAAACCGCCCATTAATAATTAATAACAACCTGCAGGATGATAAAGCATAAGATTATAACTATATTAGATAATATATGAAGTCACATTATTCGAACATGCATGCTTTCATACCTACTTTCAATGAGAGCTGGTCCTAAATATTCTGCATTCCACAAAGCTGGATTTTTGCTAATATCTCCAAAACGGTGGAGAATATCGGGAAAGTTCAAAATGATGAAATATAGAAGATAGTAAGGCGGACATTATTTGTTCGAAATATTTTTTTTGTCAGACGAATCAAAAATTCAATAATCGAAATATTAAAATTCAATTTGTCAAGGTTTCTCAAGAAAAAATCAAAATGGAAACATTCAGATTAAGATTAGCCACAGAAATCATGATCATGAGTTATCTGTATGATGAACTCTTTCTTGAGGATTCAAACCGAAGGTACCATTACGTAAAATGACGGTCAATTATTTTAATCCAAATAAAATCATATACCATTCATGTTATAGGCTTGATGTTTAATTAGGTTCGATTAGATCAGTAAGAATCTTGGTAAACTAACTGATACAACAGTATTACAAATAATGTTTATTGAGTACACTGTCCATCACACGTGCATAGAGCAGTACACTGATGCAAATCAAATCTATTGCATCTGCAGCTGATCAATTCTGAACATTCATCAGATGCTTGTGGCAAAACTGTCTAAAGTGGTTCAATCGTTTCATCTTGACATTCTAGATTTGACGACTTCCATCCCCAGTTAGTTGCATTTGGAATATATGGTTGCAATTCCAGGGTGTGAAAAATTGAGTGAGAGATCAAAGTGAGTATACCGGGTAAGGCATTTATATTGAGACAAAATTATATCTCGGTTCGACTCGATTACCTATTTCGAAAGACATTTCAGACAAATAATGTAAGGCCAATGATTTCCAATCCAAATCTGTGCTGAACAATGGGTGTTTCTATTAAAAAATCGACTTTCGCACTAAAGGCCCCACTTCCAGTCTAGTACAATATTTCTCAGATTTTTTTTTCGAAATAATCGAATACAAGCGAGATATAATTTTGCCTCAAGATAAATGCCCCACCCGGTATATTGTAGAGATAAAAAAGATCTTCTATATTTTTAAATAAACACGTGTGAAAGGAGGATTTTTATGAATAGGTAGGGATACTTGATGGTAACGGGGTAATTGTTGGTATTTTAGATGTTTTTTTTAGAAAACGAGGATTTTCCACTGAATATATTCAATTTATTGACTTTAATATTAGCCTCACAAAAAAATGTTTTTGACAAAAAATGTCCGCCTTGTAATGTTTTTTATTTCATAAGTTTGAACTCTTCCAAAATTTTGCACCGTTCTTGAGATATCAGCAAAAATCTAGTTTTCGTCCGCCATTTAAGAAAATGGCGGACGAAATATTCCAGACACAGCTTGTGTCTCGATGGTTTTTTGTTTCCTATATATTCCTCATCATGTATGCCAAATTTCATGCTGGTAGCCAGAATAGCAATATTCTTATACTTTTTTGAACCAACCCAACGCACTAGAGTAAATTACAAATTTAGGGAAAATGACTTATTACCAAAAAACAAAAATAGCACTTGGTATCGTCCCGTTCTCATGTCATCTCTTCGCACTGCTTTTCTCCGTACGCATTGCGCACGATGGAGGAGGTGACCACATGGTACCTCTTGTCAATGGATAAGTACCCGCGAAAAGTAATCACAAAGAAGAATACCAAATATTTTTTTCTGCTACCGACACAAAAGTCGTCCCTTTTGATGCCAAAATTAGCTCTTAAATTGACGTTTCTATTACTGAAACAAATATAGGTATGTTGCTAGGCAACATATTTAGTTCCTAGGAGCTAAAGTTGAATTTTAGTTCCTAGGAGCCAAAGTTGAACTTTAGCTCCTAGGAACTAAAAAGGATGTTCTAGAAGTCATCAAGAATAAACAACATTGTGACGGTTGGTTATTTGGGTTGAGACGCATACCTGATTTGTTTCCGATTTCAGCAGATTTGGCATTTCATACCCATGCTGGAGATATAAATACACCTTATTATAGTTTAGTATTGGAATTATAAACATATCAGTTGAGTATTTTTGTTTTGATCAGGGAAGCCTTCAAGACTCAAATACTTGCTTGATCTGTATTTCATTCGTTATTCTCGGGATAGATAACTTTTTTTTGAATAATCACGGCAAGCAATAGTTTTTTTGTCTCAAACAACGATATTGTTTAGCTTCATTTGATTATCAAGTCAAACACAGTGTAGTATGGAGAGGAATGAATAATCACTATTATCATTGTTGATATGCTCACTAACCTAACATTTTCCACGTCTTGTTCCTATAGCTGGCACTGGTGAGGTATTTGCCATTAGAGCACCTGGTTCATACACAAATATGTCACTCTGTGGTTGTATTTATATTGAAACTACAATTCGAACATCCTAGGAAACCTAACCTGCTGTCAATGCAGGTAGAATATTCTCACCACATGGATTATTTGTCAATATTTGTTGCATTGCATACATATGACACGGCATTGGTGGTTACTTCACATGTTTATTTGAGTTAATTGTTTCGGTTGCAGAAAAAATAGCATGTTTCATTCGGATCAAAAGTGACTTTGTTCGACTCGCAAATTCTGCTTTCGCTCGGCTTCGCTAAACGCTCCGCCTCGCAAATGCAAAATTCGCTTGTCAAACAAAGTGTCACTTTTGATCCTAATAAAACAATCTACTATTATCATAAAGTAGGAATTTGATCGGGACAGTGGCGTAGCAGAATAATAATATTTAAGTAATGAAATGATGCAGAAACGGAACAGATAATTATGTACATTACTTTCGGTCACATTTTCAGGGTTGATATGTGATTCATTCTCATAATATGTGGTAGGCGAAAAAAAATTAGTAAATAATATAAAAATTTATTATCTTCAATAAAGAGCACAATGGAAAGGAATAAAAATGTGCCAATATGAAATCCATAAATAATATTAGAATATATACATAAGCCTTATAAACTATAATTCGATATCATATGTTACAATTTTGTCATAATATGTGATAGGCGAAAAAAAAATTAGTAAATAATATAAAAATTTATTATCTCCAATATAGAGGCACAATGGAAAGGAATAAAAATGTGCCAATATTAAATCCATAAATAATACTAGAATATATACATAAGCATTATAAACTATAATTCGATATTATATGTACAATTTTGTAGCTATTTTACAATGAATAAATAATATCAGTAGAATGAAGGCCTTACATTTTCAAAATACCCAGTTATATGAGGTAAGTAATTTTCAAAGCTAACTATCTCGATATTTTCGAAGATGTGCCTGGAGACTATGGGCCTATTTTTACGAAAATTTACAAAAAAAGTGATGAGTCATTGTCCTATATGAAAAAGAATTAAAAAACTCATCATGTTTTGGTTATGCATCGACAAGCTCAGGTTATTTATTTCTATTGTAAAATTTCATACGTTCTATTTGAAAAGAGTATCTATTTTACACAATCTCAGTAAGTACACGGTGATGGCTGGAATTCAAGCCTCATTATTGGGATCTCCTGAACCGTAAGAGATACAGGGTTAGTTCATTCATGGCAAAGTTGCGCAATTTTATGCAAAATGTCATTCAGAAAATTGAGAAACTTCGAATACTTCCAAAGATTTATGGAAAAAACCGAATAATCGCGAATTCTTTTTCATTTTTTCTCCACTCTATTTGAATAGACGTATAACAAAATCAATTGAACATTCTCTTTGCAAATTTTTATGTTTTACAAGATTTTGTTATCAGATTTCCAAACCAACAATTCGTTTTTGATCTGTCATCATCAATTTAGTTTTTGTAAATACTGTCCTTGATTTTTTATTATGGATTTTGAGAGCTTTCAATCATTGGAAGTGGATATACAAACTCGAGTATATCAATTTGATATTTGATAACTTTCTGTAATTATGAAGATGTCAAGTTGATGTTGATTTTGTATTGTGTCTGTCAATATATTATTCAAATCTCATTCGATATTTGCATCCATTCTATTACCAGTTAATATCAATACCCTAAAATCAACAGTGTATCGCACTCATTCGAAAAATGTGATTGTTCACCTCCATTATCTTCTAAAATACGGCTGAAGATGGACTTTTATAAGTCCGAAACTTGCCCCTTAGACTTTGAGCTCTCCTTCTTTCTTTTGAACTATTATTATATTATTATCAGCATCCGCTATTAGATATTGGATACACGAGAATACCGTGTAACCTTCTTGTCTCACTTTCCAAAGCTGCCAACCTAATTTTCAGCTGCAGGTTTTCTTGCTCCAAATACGCACACCTCACCGCTATCTCATCCTCCTTCATCTTCCTTGCTTCCCTCGACCTCTTAGCTGCCTCATTATTCTTCTTCCTCTTCGCCACATACTCAGGGTCTTCAATTTTGCTCGCGTCTCCCTGCGATCTACGCATAGAAATGCACAATTCGTTTTTCGAACTCACAGTCGACAACACCCTGTTTCTGTACTCTTGGAAGGATTCATCGTTGTATAAAAAATGTCGGAGTTCAAGATTTCCTTTCGAAATGGCTTTGAAGGGTCGCAGGGGCTTAGAGGTGGATGAAACTTGTGGGATTTCTGGGGAAGTTGAATTTGAAGACAAAGTTGGGCTTGAGTGGCATGCTGAACATGAATCGTAGGTAAATTTATTCTTGGTGTTGGTGCAGAGGTCCAAAACTTGTGGTTCGAATGGAAGGTGAATGTTTGGATAATAGTGTGAGTATCCATAAGGGGATAATGGTATCCTGTTTTCTAAAGGATGCTGCATCTGAAAGAAATTGAAATGGTTATAAGCTTCGATCACTTCCACAGTATTGCTTGTTAATGAACATCATGTTGTTTATCGAATCGTTACATATATAGGATATGGGAGTATAAGGAAAGGATATGGTATTTGACAACATCGCATAGTCACAGAGAGATGCGGAGAGCAACGCTGGCCGTTAGATAGTTGAGAAGTGCCTAAATCTTTCGAACCATTCCCAACACGTGATATGTTGAGATTCGTGTTTTTTATTATTATTTCTCGTAATAAAATTGTGGAGGCTGAGTTTGGTCAGGGAGTTTTATTCTGGTCCACTAATAGCATGGCGTCAGCCCACTGTGATCATTTGTGTAGTGATTTAGGCTATCAAGGATGTTTTTCCTTCCTCCCAATGGCCAATCTGACAATGAGGTTTTCCATAATGTATCACATGATTCACTGTGGCCAATCTGACAATGAAATTTGGGAATGGATCGAAAACCTTAGGCTCTATAGTTTTGTGTCAGTGAAAATGATACCTATACACCGTGTCTCACTTCAAATGGCCCTGCTTAATATCTCAGCTATTATAGTCATGCGATTGGTTCAAAAAATGGACCGGTGTGATTAATCATTAATATGATCATTCAGTCAAAGACGAATATGCTTTTGGTCGGTGTCGTGTTTTCTTATTGAAATAGAAAGGGGTCGATTTCTATGAATTCATAGTAAGAAGGCAGTTATTTGCAAGAAAACTGACTTCATTTCATTGCTTCTCTTGCTTTCAAATGTTCATATGCAAAAAATCACCTCAGTTCGAATTAACAGGATTGGTTCAATTTTTTTCATTTTCTGCCTCAAAAAAATAGTGAACTCACATTAACTGCAAATTTTGGATCGTTTAATGGCTCTGGTATCTTTAGAAAATCATGATTTGAAAGAAATCACAAGGTATTCTATTTTTTGTTGACCTTACCCTTTCTGAGTAGATTGATGTTGACAAAAACGCTGTTTGATGTACCTAACCTGTTTTTTGAAACGACCCTTTATAGGAATAATATTATGAGAATCTACATTATATATGAGGGTATGAAACTATGAAGAACAAATTTTATGAGGTCAGTTTTCCTGTAACTAAATTCCTGATATGTTTTCACAGAAAAATTTACTCATTTTCAATCTAATACAAACGCAAGGCAGTGTCTGAAATTATATTCGCCTCTGAAAAACTGATCATGATGAGTATTCATACCGGTCCAAGTTTGGTGAAGATCGCCCGAATCGCACAAATAATAGCTGAGAGTTCGAAATGAGACTCGCAACACGCTGTACAATAAGATATAAGATATAAATGGAAGTTACAAAAGCCATGTGGCAAGCAAGTAACAATGATGAGTAGACTTAAAAAGTGACAAGAATGTCAAATGACGAGTGACACAAATCTGGTGTACACACTGTCCAATTGTGTCGTTAGACCAGAGATTATAAACAATTGAATGCGATTTCGAAACGTGGGGTTCTCATATTCGATGATAGATGGCGTGAAGGATAGATAATTTCTTGAAAAATTTCAAAATGCGTTTCGAATCTTATTATGAAGTTGAACTAGACTTTCAAGGATGTTCTTTCCTTCTTTCGGGACCTGAACGACCTGAAGAGTTCCGTTGATGGTGCACGAATTCAATAATAGCTGATAGAAAGCATCTAGAGACAGGACGCAATAGAAACAGGGTGCAACAAATAATCTGTGCGGAAACATCTTGATCTTGACGTAATTGTCATAAGTGCCATGTGTCATGTTTTCGTTGTTTCTGGCATATTCAAGATTTTGTTCAAATTTCGAATCAATGTATCGTTAATGAATTCACTCACCATTGAAAGTCGGAAATATGACGCATCGTTTCCATTTAAACAGAAAAATGTGAAAATGCAATTGTGAACTCTAATGAATGCGTCATGATGCCTGTAAATTCGGTTTGAAAATTCGGAAATTTAGCAAGATCTCCAACGTCTCGCTATTTTTCGTTATTTTTACAAAGTAGGCGATATCGAGAAATTTCGAAACTACTTTCAATAGGAAGTGATTACACCATTTACATCAATCATATACCTATTCAGTATTCATGCTTTCGTTTTGTATAATACATTATGGCCCATTTTCGAAATGAAGTACCTCTGTACTTTTATCAGCGAAAAGTACCAGATGTGATACATAGTATACCATTTCTGGCAACTCTGAATGAATTTCAGTTCAAAATATTCCTAGCGAAGACGTATGTACAGTGGGGCTCAAATTAAAAGTAACGACTTCTGTGAAAATCCCTTTAAAATTTCAGTTTATGCACCCAGACTAATATCTATTCCAACCGCCCGCTGTTTCAATCACTTATTTCTTATGGTGAGTTGTGGTACGAGATAGTCAGATATCTGAATATTTCTAAGATTTGGGGTTAATATTCACATCGCTAGAGTGATATTTTATGCTTCATCCGGCTTCATCTTATGAAGCTGACTCATGGTTATTCATTGTTTGATTCTAGTTGATTCTATGGATTGATAGATATAGTTGAAGTACTTCTTGAATAAAGCGGCATCGGTATAATTAATTTTTTTTTAATTGAAGTTTGTCGTTAGTATATCCTCCTGAAATCATATTTCTTAATCGTTCTTAAGAGTTATTTTTCTCTGAATACCTATTTTTGATATAAGAACTAATAATTCTCATCAGCATGTGCGATATGAAAACGGTATACACATAATTATCTTGAAACGCGAATATCTACCGACTTCCAGAAATTTTATTTTTGAAGTATAATACTTGAGCTTCGATAAATCGTGCAGATAAATTTGAAAAACAGGGTTATTGATCGATTTGATAAAGTTCAGTGTCTCCCATGTCCGTTAATCACAAAAATATTACTTTGCTTCAGAACAGTGTTGTGTCATCAATTTGATATCTCAAAGGACATAGGAGATACCTACTGAACCGAACCGAATAAGTAGACAATATTTCATGATGCATGATTCTATACCTAGAAAATAATGACGGATTCTCATTCAAGATCACTCGGGACATACCTGTACTAATTTTCATCATCATAAAATACAGGGTGTCCGAATTTTTTTTTTATTACCTATTTTTTGGTTGATGAAAAAATTGCCTACCCACCCTTTTTGTTTTCTCAGACACATTGTATATTTGAATGATAATAATGGGGGCTGATATGTTCGAAGTAGTCCTAAATATCCATTTGACATTACTTCTTCCCAAACATACCACAGTACTACATTTTCTGATCAAGTATACAAAAAATATATCTATTAATCCGATTTTTCGGACACTCTTTGTTTTATGACGATGAAAATCGGTACAGGGTTACATTGAGTGATCTAGGTTCAGAATCTGTCATTAGTTTTAGTGAAAAAATAAAATCCCCAATAGTAATTTACGAAATATGGGTCAATAAAATTGGTCGCAGTTGATGGCCACGATAACAGTCCAAGAATAAAATCACTTTTTTTGTTTGATGGATATTTCAAATACCTATACAAAAAAAAAAGTTTTTCGAAATCGATCAGATAAGATAATACGGATTTTACAGGCGGTGGTAAAGTTCTTAAAGTGGACACACTGTATATATAGCACGTGGTCACAGAACATAACATGCAGTGCACTGTTAAATACCAGAATGTTTGATGTGTATTTTTGACTTTTTTTTCAATATAAATAAAATTAAATCCTTCATGATCAAAAAATAATACCTTATAATTATAGCCGAGTAAAATAACTATAGAAGTTTTCCACTTATCGATATTTCTTTGTGCTTATATATTCAACAGTATAAAATGTTATTTTGGTTTTGAAATCTATGATCTGCATGCTGATAATAATCACACTGTAGATATCCTTGTTTATGAAATTCATATTTCCACTCGAAAGAGCATTTTATGTGAACCAGTTCTCCTTTGTAAGAAATCAAGAGTTTCAGTGTTTCAGTTTGAAAGAAAATCATCTTCAAAAATATTCTCAAAAATCGTTATTACTCTGAAACAGTTGAAAATAGTAATGAATCACCTTATATATTTTATGGTTTATATCAGAGTAATATGTAGAATGAATAATGAAAAAAAAAAGTGGTGTTCTATTGGAAATAAGAGAATTCTATTTTCTTTCCGTATTCGTAAGTGCGCTATGCCAGATTCATCCTCGGATTTACCCAAAAATTTTTTATTCAACTCAGCATAATATTGAAAATGAATGGGTTACCTGAATGAACGTGAAATCATAAAATTCAGTACTATATCTTTATTGTTTCATTACAATTTTATCGATCTTTTTCTCCTGGTTATACAAAGTGTAATTCAATTGATGGTTAGAAATATAGGATGTAGACATTTTGAGGAAAGTTCATATGAACATAATATATGCCCTGAACCTCTTAACTTTAAAGCAATAGGGTGTTGAAATTTTAAGAAAAAAAATTTCTTATAGTAACTTTGATACTGTTCTAGATATTCCCATAAAATTTGACATGCACCTACTAAGCACTGATGGCCAGTTCGTGTCCGTATGGGATGTAAATACTGGAGATTTTTCTAAAAAATAAATGCAATTCTCATTCCTTTTGCAATAATTTGAGTTACATATTTGAAAATGATGAAACCATTTTGGCAAATTCAATCAACGACTTCACTTCAATAAAAATTAGACAAAAACACATCTTACCTACAAACTACACCACATTGTTTCAGTTGGTGCATGTCAAATTTCATGAGAATATCTAGAATAGTATGTCGAAGTTATCATAAGAAAATGCTTATTTTTATAAAAATTCCAACACCCTATAGCTCGGAAGTTGAGAGGTTTAGGGCATATGTTAATATCAACTTTTCTTCTCAAAATGAGCTGAGGAACCATGTCCTATATTTTTAGCCATAAATTGAATTACACCCTGTATAGTTTGAAATTAAATCCCTTCATTCCAAGATTGGATTCTAGTTATAATTAATTATATTATATCGTT